ATTTTGATGTCTGTAAAGATATTGTTTGCAGAACCATAGCCTGTCTAAATCGTATGTTTGCGAAACCTTTGGGCCAGAATAATACGCATGACACTAAATGTAATTCAAAATATTCCCTGTCTTTGGAGTACTGGATATAGCATTTTAAATGTCTGTGTTCGGGTGTTCAGGCTATAGTAGCCTATAGTTCAGCCAACATGACACAATCGAATATGAATCCGTCGAATTCCTGTCTCATTAACTGCAAATTGTGGAAGAAACGTCTTATCCAGTTCAGAACTCTTCCAGAGCGCCTCGACAATTAGGGATCTCATAATGGGATAGCAGTCTGTAACAATCACTTTGAATTGTCAAACCGAAGCGGAATTGTGGAACCGACCTGCGGAAAAACTACCTGTACACATGCAGACTTGCATGAATAGAATGTATTTATATCGCCAAAGAAATCACCATGTGGAATTTAATGCTTCCGTATTTGGCCCAATTTTTAATTTATTCTAACAGGAAGCTGAATGAAATGTATCAGCCACAATTCGTTAAGTTGACGGAAGACAGGTAATTGAATCTTACCACGATGCTATGAGTAGGCTTAATCTCTTCATTGAACTTCATATAATCCTGCCATCTGAAAGGTATTTTCATCCAGGCTGGACTGGACGGCAGTTTCGACCTTGCCGCAGTCTTCTCAGCATCCCAATGGGATTCGAATTCGGGTTATGATAGTGCAGCGTTGCTACCTACACATTCACTACTACGCCACACTACCACGAGTGTCCTTGAGTCACTGGGCCGATGCGAATTCCTCATATCACATTCTGTTGTCAGATTCTCTATTAAGCAAAGTTGGATTTGCCATAGCACTAGGGTGCATTACCAATTTTTAGTTTATAAATTGTTTTTCCAAACTTCCATTAGATCAAATATACGAGATGTATTCACTCTATTTCTGTTTCTATAGTAAATCCCACTTTGCTAAATCGACACTCTCGTCAATGAATTTGGTATGGGAAAATGACTGGCCTTGAAAGTCACACCTGATTTGTGACTCAAGGGCACTAATGGCAATGCGGTGTAGTGATAAACGCATCAAGAATATACGTTACACTACCACAACCTGGGTTCGAGTCCTGCTTTTTAAATGTTTGTGTTCGAGTGTTTATGCTACTCAAAGAAAAAAAGACATTCTCTGAACATTGTCGATTGGCTATGTGGAAGTAGACAGAGTATGCTTTTCTGAGGCTTGAACTCTTTTTTCCGGCCTTCTCAAAGCTGATTATCAATATTTTTATCAGAAGAGCTCATCTTCCCCAATTGGCGATTCCATCAAGTGCACTATTTTGGGAACTATTATTTGTCCAATAGTTGTTTCGATTAACCCTGCTAACCACGTTCAATATACCACTGAATAAAAACATTATCGTTTCTCATTGTGAAGGGATTAGATGCCTGTATCTCGGTCTATTGAATGAATGTATCGTGGTAGAATGTGAGTTAACACAGCTTTTTATTAGAACGTTGCACATTTGTATTTTTAACGAATTTTAACTTGGTACTAGTGACTGTACCGAATACGATGCTGGCGAAGAATACGATTATTTAATAGCATGGGTGAATCTATGTGAATATGCCTACAACTTTCCTATCTGTATCAATTTTCTAGGCCCCATAATAAGAAGCTGATTCATCCTTTTAGGTATGACCGAAAATGCCACATGTATCTCAGACAGCCGCCTTGTTTAGAGTAGAGCTCTCGTTTCTAACTGGTACGGCGAATGGAATACTGAGTAGAACGCCCCTAATGCACCTCCCCGTTCCATTAGCTTTTCGATGGGTCCATATTCATGGCCAAGATAAAACCGTCAGAAATTAGTTTTCAGGAGTAATTTACATGTGATTTGCATAAGTCCTCTCCCTAAGGTGCCGGCTGAATAGGTGACAGGAGACTTGGAGCTGGACCTTCGGCTTTCGGCCAGTGCAGCCATCCTCGGGACCATTGCTAGACGAATACGCGGTACATGGTTTGTACCCTTCCATGGCCAAACTTGCGTTATCAGACCAGGGCAGGAGGAGACAAATGTTTAATACATGTTTATACCGGTTAAATATTAGGCTCTGCGACCGGACTCGAAATCAAGAGGGAAAAGTGATCAAGCGATATGTTTAGACCTGTAAAGTCATGCATTTGAAAGAGTGACAAAGGGAAAACCACGCCAAATAAGGCAATGAATCAGGACAAAGTGAAGATGTCACATGCCCACAACATTTGCAATGGGGCGCAGTGATACGAGAACGAGGTTGCCGAGGCCACAAGCTTGGTCGGATCACGTCTCCTCGGAAAATGTAGCGAAATGAGTCATTTGTCAATACGCGAGTGACTGTTCATGGACTTATTATACATGTTGATACATACTTGCTTAGCTTGTCTTAAGTAAGGACTAAACGGCCGAGTAACAATGTGAAGGTGTTGCTA